TTCTTTCTTTCTCTCTCTCTCTCTCTCTCTCTCTCTCTCTCTCTCTCTCTTTCTTTCTTTCTTTCTTTCTTTCTTTCTTTCTTTCTTTCTTTCTTTCTTTGTGTCCCACATCTCCTGTGTGTTTCTTTCTTGTGAGTTTTTTACATGTTCCATGTTTATTTGGTCTAGATCTCCACTTTTATCTCTGAGACCTAATATTCTGTCTTCTGTTTCATCTATTCTACTTGTAGGGCTTCCCTCTGTGTTTGGACTATTGGGTTTTTCAATTCTGTCTTCATTTCAGACTGAGTCTCCTTCAGTGTTTCTACTTCTCTGTTGAATTCCGTTGTCGAGCACTGGCTTCTCGTTGTCATCTTCACGGCCTTGTGTGCGTGTTCTTGGCCATCACTCGGGAACTTACTCTCCTTTGCTCTTTCCTCTCATCTCACTGAGCTGTTTGTGTCTTCTTTCGATTCCTTGAAGTCTTTGAGGACTTTTATAATTGTTCTTTTAATGTCTGTGTCCCGGAGGTCATCCGGGTCATTCTCATTGGCAAGCATTTCTGCAGGAATGGCTGCTGGGCTTTAGAGAGGGGATGCTGGCTTGACCTTTCCTATTGTTGTTATTTCTGCAGTGAGCGCTGAGCCTGTGGACGTGCTTTGTTAGCTCTGAGTTAATAGTCAGTGGATCGGCCGGGCGGTGGTGGCACACGCCTTTAATCCCAGAACTCGGGAGGCAGAGCCAGGCGGATCTCGGTGAGTTCGAGACCAGCCTGGGCTACCAAGTGAGCTCCAGGAAAGGCGCAAAGCTACACAGAGAAACCCTGTCTCGAAAAACAAAAACAAAAAACAAAAAAAAAGTCAGTGGATCTGGGTGGGGAAGATGATAGGATGTGGGGGTGGGGGTGGTCTAGAGGTTGGAAATGACTTGGGTGGAATAAAGCCAGGTGGGCAGAGGGGACTAGGGTGGTATATGGGATCTGCATCCTGTTTTCTTCCTTCCTTCCTTCCTTTTCTTTCTTTCTTTAATTTTTATGTGCATTGGCATTCTGCCTGCATGTCTGTGTGAAGCTATAAGATCTTCTAGTTACAGACAATTGTCAGCTGCCATGTGGTTGCAGGGAATTGAACCCAGGTCCTCTGAAAGAACAATCAGTGCTCTTAACCACTGAGCCATCTCTCCAGCACCTCTGCTCCCTGTTCTAAGCCAGGAGCATGGGAATAGATGAGTGGAGAGTGTGAATATGACATGGGAGAGTGCTGTGGGGTGGTAGATGGTAGAAAGGATACTGGCCTCCTGTGGTGATTTGAAAGAAAATGGCCCCCAAAGGGAGTGGCACTATTTGGAGGTGTGGCTTGTTGATATAGGTGTAGCCTTGTTGAAGGAGGTGTCTCACTATGGGGGCAGGCTCTGAGGTCTCCTATGTTCAAGTAACTGCCCACTTCCTGTTGCCTGTGAGTCAAGATGTAAGGACTCTCAGCTCCTTCTCAGGCACCATGTCTGCTTGCACGCTGCCATGCTTCCTGCTGTGATGATAATGGACTAAAGCGCCACAATGAAAGGTTTTCTTTTATAAGAGTTGCCAACTGTGCAATGGTGGCACACGCCTTTAATCCCAGCACTTGGGAGGCAGAGGCAGGCGGATCTCTGTGAGTTTGAGGACAGCCTGGGCTACAGAGCGAGAGCCAGGACAGGCTCCAAAGCTACACAGAGAAACCCTGTCTCAAAAAACAAAACAAAACCAAAAAAACCAACCAACCAACCAAACAAACAAACAAAGAATTGCCATGGTCCTGGTGTCTCTTCACAGCAATAGAAACCCTAACTAAGACACCCACCCTAGAGCACCCCTAAAGGGAAGGCAGGAATGGCCAGACCAGCCTGAAGAACTGATTGTAGGACTCAGGCTAAATGTGGTAGATTTTGGAAAATGCTTGGATGAAGAGGTCAGGGGTTCTCCAGGGTTAGACTCAGGAGGAGGATATGGGATGTGTAGTGGGTGTGGAGTGGGGTGGAGGAGGCGACACATAGTGTCCTGTGGGTGGCGTAGAGAGTGCAGGTCCTGGTGGAAGCCTGGATATTGGGTACCTCAAGAGAGGAAGTGGCGGAGCTAGGCTGTGTTGGAGGCTAGAGGCCAGGCTGTGCCAGGGCACTGTCTATGGGGGCTGGGTTAGATCCAGCAGGGTGTAGAAAACAAGCGGTGGGTGGTGGGGGCACTCACCAGGCTAGACCCTAGATGAGGATGTGGAAAGTCTGGGCCTGGAGCGGAGTGGTAGAGAGGGAACAAACGGGGGGGGGGGGGGCGTGTTTTAAAACTTCATGATCTTAATTTCTAATTTAGGGGGTTGAAACATTGCCTGCTTGAAGCTACTGGACTTCACCCAGAAGCATTGTGTCCTGATTAGGGTTTGTGGGGGCGGGGGGAGGGTTGTTTTGTTAATTTGATATAAGCTAGAGTCATCTGGGAAGAGAGAACCTCAATTGAGAAGATGCCTCCATCAGATTGGCCTGCAGGTGAGTCTGTGGGGCATTTTCTTGATCAATGATTGTTGTGAGACGGCCCAGCCCACTATGAGCAATGTCATCCTGACCAGATGGTCCTTAGAGGTATAAGAAAGCAATCAGAGTGAGCTGTGAGGAGCAAGCCAGTAAGCAGCACTCTTCCATGGCCCCTGCATCAGCTCCTGCCTCCAGGTTCCTCCTGCCTTGAGTTCCTGCTCTGACTTCCCTTCATAATGAACATAGTCCATAAGCTGAAATCAATCTTTTCTTCCCCCAGTGCCTTCTGGTCCTGCTGCTCATCACAGCAGTAGAAACCTCATCAGGATGTTATGGGATGTAGAGTGAGGGGCGGGCACCTGGGGGGCTGCTGAGCTCATTCTATGGGGCAGACTAAGAACTATGCATCCTAGAAAGAAGATCCATTTAGGTAGGAGAGCGAAGTGACAGAGAAGAGCCGTGACAGAGAGACAGCTCGAGATCTGTGGTGGGGGACGGAAAAGCTGTGGCTGCTGAGAATAAAAGGTGCAGAATCATGAGCATCCATCCCTAAGAGAAAGGACAGTCACAGAGTCCAGGGCAGCTGACATCGGAAGGAAATATAGACTGAGGCAGAATCATGAGCATCCATCCCTAAGAGAAAGGACAGTCACAGAGCCCAGGGCAGCTGACATTGGAAGAAGTATAGACTGAGGC